CTGATTATATGGAAGTATCCTGAAAAACAGAATAGAAATCAAGTTCCAAGAATCAGAAAAACAAAATGGTTTCAGGGCAGGACGTTCTTGTATAGATGGAATGTTTACTCTTGAAAATATTATTGGAAAAAAGAGTAGAATGACGTAGACAAATTCACTCTACTCTTGTGGATTTACAGAAAGCCTATGACACCGTGCCACTAAGTTAGTTGTGACCAGCAATGCGTCCAAATAGAATAAGCAACACATGTAAATGCTGTGAAAGCTCTGTATATATACAGTTCACTCGAACAAGATCGACAACTTTCCCAATTAATATTGAGAGTGCCCTAAAATCTTGGAAGAGGAAATGTAGCAGCATCGAGGGGTCAACCACTTCCCGAAATACGTGTACACTTGTCCCAAATTATCGAAGAGGTTTCAGGATTACCGGATAATACTTTTACCTGTCACGAAACGCGTAACGCAGCAACACCACAACTCTGAAGGAGGAGTGGTGATGCTGGTAACGCGTTGAGTGTCAGGTGAAAGAATTAGGTAATCCTGACATCGAGTGGTATTCAAAAGTTTATACAACGAACTAAACTTTAATTCACTGTACATTATTCCCATGACAGGAGGGGCTTTAATAAGTGATAAGTCTTTTGGGATTATCGCGCTTGGTGGCAATATTTATAGCAAATTCTATTATAGACAAAAATTTGTTTCATCTCTTGCCATCAAGCGCGATAATCCCAAAAGGCTTATCACTTATTAAGCCTCACATGTCATATGGGAATAATGTAGAGTGAGTTGTATAACCTCCGAAATACTTCGAAGTACCCAGAAATACCTTGAGGTACCTCGAAATACCAGGTATTCCTGTCGAAGTACGCGAAATAACCTCAAATTCCCGTTCGAAGTCCCGCAATACTTCTAAAAAAAATCTCGTTGATGACGAGTCTTCTTATGGATTGCGGTAAAGAATTTTTGCTCGGATTTTTATGTCTTTTGATGTCATGGATTTTATTCAGACACACAGGATAGACAATTAAATCAATAGTTAGTGATATTTCTCTATCTCTATTGAGGTCGCCTCTCTATTGATTTCGAAAAGAGATAAGACAGCAAGTGCCATAGCGATAGGGTCGATAGGGATAACGATCTATATCCGTTACAGAGTCCCAGCCCTGGTGACTGTTAGTTCTACAAGGCTGTTAGGTACTATTAACCATACTGACATCGATTACTTATACATGTCAGGTATACAGAGTGACACAAGGACTAGTAGGGAACAACGGAACAACCCTCGGAGCAACCTATAACTTCTTTAACACATAAGTTGAAAATTTGGAATTTGGGGAGCTTAAACGAGGCAACTTTTTGAGTCTTTTAGAAGTAAAGTGCGTTACCAGTCACTTCCGGAAAAGGCCATAACTTTTAATTTTCAAATGGGACATCCGGTATTTTTTGAGTTTTCTGGCATCAGCAGATAATTTTACGTATAATGGGACGATTTTTGAAAGATTTATAACAAAACCAAAAAAAAAAAATGCATTTGAAAATAAAGATTTTTCAGAAGTTGTTGGGTTATTTCTCAGCGGATTTTAAAAATGTTGATATCAAAAAATAGGGAAAAAAACTAGTTTCAAAAAATTGATAGGTCCCATTAGGTTACATTTGAAAAATATGGAATACTTTGAAAAAACCTCTTTGTTCAATTTTGATCTGAAACAGATTTTTCTGACATTAAGAATATGCAACTAAATCAATTTACACCAGTGGCATCGCCGAATTTTTTTTTCTAAAAATTAATTCCATTTTTTTTTTTTTTTGTTAAAATTTTCCAAAAATGGTCCAATTATACTTAAAATGATCTGCTGATGCCAGAAAACTCAAAAAATACCGGGTGTCCTATTTGGAAGTCAAAAGTTATGACCACTTCCGGTTAAGCCGGAAGTGAGTGGTAACGCAATTTACTTCTAAAAAACTCGAAAAGTTTCCTCGTTTGAGCTCCTCAAATTTCAAATTTTCAACTTTTATATTAAAAAAAGTTATAGGCTGTTCCCTTTTCCTTGTGTCACCCTGTATATTTCCATTTGTTTCAATTAATATGAAGTTAATCCAAATTATGTCAATATACAGGGTGGACCAAAAGTCTTTTTACTTTTCAAACAATGATAAAAAAAATAGAAAAATGGGAAAAAAAATGGTTTTTTTTTTACACAGATAGGGATTTTATTTTTTGAAATTTCACTCTGCTGCAACCTGGAGCGGTAATTTTCAATAACGGCTTCGATTGAAATGTAAACGGACTTATGGTCCACCCTGTATTTAGCCTGTTCGAAGATGCACTATAATTTTCATTCTATAATATTTCAATTTCAGGTGGTGATAATTAAATTTTCTTGGTACATAAAAAAGAAAATACTTTTGAATAGCTCGAAATACCTCGGCTTATCACGAAATACTTCGATTTACCTTGAAATACTTCGAATTAGCTCGAAGTACCTCGAAGTATTAAGTAATACCACGAAAAACTAGGTTGGAATTACCACCACCGATATACTTTGAATTTCGCGAAATATATGCGAAATAGCGACATTTTCGCAATACGTGTACACATTTTTACAGACTGGTTGACCTTTCGTGCAGCATAGGCTCACCGACAGGAGAGGACGTACTTTTCACTCTCCTTTTTGCTGACTAACAGGTAGTTATAGGTGAAGATAAAGATGACTCTGAGTTACATGCTTCGAAAACTCCAACAAGAATATGAAAACTGGGGACTTTCAATGAATATGAAAAAACCGGAGTATATAGCAGTCGGCGACAAATTGACAGAAGATTGAGATCGAAGACATTATGTGGTGGAGTACTGCCCTTCGTTCAAATATTTGGTGTTGTTACCCTTTCTTCCAATGGTAAAAACACCTTAGACATCTCGAATAAAGTTGATCTATAGGGCGAAGAGTTATTCTCCAAATTAATTCCTTATTAAAGGAGCAACACAATAACAAAAAGAAACAAAAAAATAATTTAGTATACCATTGTTGAAACTATAACTATGTATGGCTCAGAAACCAGGGAATTACCAAAACGGGACAGGAAAAAGCTCTTGGCTGTGGAAATCGATCACTGGAAAAGCAAAACATCCAGAGTTGATCATATTAGAAATGAAGAAATAAGACGATCGATGGAACTAGATGGAACTATCATAGACAAGATTGAATTTAAAAGACTCACATGGTATGGCAATCTCGAAAGAATGGACACGAGCCGGTGACCAAAAAAAGTTTGGGTTTGGAACCAGAGCGCAGAAAGCGCGGTAAGACCACCAAGAAGCTCCGTCATGGAGGCCCTGAAAAAAAAAGACTTCAAGAAGGAGACTGGTGGAACCGAGACCTATGGAAAGTATGAAGCGAGAAACAACGACAGTTGTGAACCACTCGCTGATATTTAATCCATGATACAATTGCAGATATATTTTTCATAGTTTCTGTTTCTAGAAAGTCATTTTCAAAAGTACCTAAGTCCAAGACTCAACATGGAAAAATTTGGAATTTCAGCATTTTTGAAGGAAGGTACATAGGTCCCGATATAGGTATACTTAGGTACCTACAAAACTTGAAATTCTAAGCTCATTTGGAGTTATATTTCCAGAGATATAATACCGCCAAAGAATACTTGTGAACGATAGTGAAATTTGGATCCGAAATGTTTAAAAAAGGATCAGCGGAAAGATTATAAAATTTCCTCCTCTTTCTTTGTAGGGATTGTATCTCTAGAACCATAACTCCAAATGAGCTTAAATTTTCAGGTTAGTTAGAGTAAGATCCTGTGAAATTTTCAAATTCCTATCTATGATACAATCGACGATATGATTTTTTATAGTTTTTAAAAACCTTCTACTTACACATCAAATTTTTCCCTGTTGAGATTTTGACTTTAAATGAATAATTGGGTTCCCCCTAACCCCACACTATGAATCATTCAGAGATTGGAAACTGAAATGTTTGAAAAAAAGAAGAGCAGAAAAATTGAAAAACTATAAAATTTCCTCCTCTGGACCACACAAACTCCATACTGTCAAACAATGCAAGATTTAGAGCCGATATGTTTGGAGATACTCCAAATGAAAAATTTAAAAAATTATAAAATGTTATCTTCTCGCCCTTAACAACATTTTATCTCTGGTATACATTTAAATTTTTCAATTTCACATACATACATATAAAAATAAGCAATTTTTTTTAATAAATCCTGTTGCAGTTTAAATTTTATCCAGGATTCAAAACAATCCTTCACTAAATTACTCTTTTCCGTAATGGAAAAAGTTCTATTGTAAGCAAAAGGTTCCGGGTATTTTTCCTCATCAGTTTAAAACGAATGGAAAACCCCCCTGGGGTAAACCGATCTACCAGAAAAGCAACAAGTCAGTAATAAAATCTGCGACGAGAAAATATAGTTAGTTTAGCATCGTAATGAATTCCATCACCATCAAATTCGGATGTAGCGACTTTAAGTCGGGCGCTCCTTTGAATTATTAGAATTTTGTGCGTGACCAAAAAGAATTTGCATGGATTATGTTTTTTTTTTTTTAAATGAGGAAATTACTAAGAAAAAAATTTAAATAGGGATAAAAGAAAAGTCAATTATTGAAGTATGTATCACAAAAACTTCTACACTTTCTAGTTCTAAAGTTAATTTTTTATATTCCCATAGGCCGTTCTCTCCACCTGCTACAAAAGAATTCCAAATTGCACCTATTGTCCCCTGTAATCTACAAAAAGGTCCTTCAAAAATGCCCTTGCTCCCCTCGAACTACTATATTTTTGCACATAAGTACACTACACCCGGCATATATCAAGTGCGCCAAAAATCGATAAAAGCTGCCGATTTATCTTACTAAAAAACCCGCATTTAACTTATCCATACGCTACAATCGTCTACAAATCTACTCAAATAAGCGATATTTAATGCAATTTACTCATGTTTTTTTTTTTTAAATGTGAACATACCATGCGAGAAATGTATCCCTGGCGATCTGGATTGCGGGCGGCGAGCAGTTTGTGTTGCCCGTGCGCCATATTGAACCACTACTGAGAAACTGAAGCTGAACTGCTGAAACTTGGCAGCTGAAAACTGAAAGCTATGCCGGAATATCCCCGAGCGGCGGCTTGCGCAAATCAACTAGGGGCTGAACGCTAGGATTTCGGTTTAGCCGATCCGAGATACCTACAAGTTTGAGAATTGACTAAAAAATATATTTATTTATTATTATTTTTTATGTTCGATTTTAGTTCATTATTGTGACTCAGTTGAAAATAATAGGTATCTATCATTAGGCCCTTAATCAATCACTATAGAAGTTACTTTTATATTATTTATTTTGGTATATTTGCCAGGTAATGGTTTCTTCTCGTGCAGTTTACTTTTAGAAATATCTCAAACTTCTCCTAACTTCAGATGGGAATTAATGCATATGTGATGCACAGACCGAGTCCACTTGAAACTGTCACGAACACTGTTCATAAATTGAATTCAGTGCCAACAAATTTAAAGCAAGACATATAGAGACTGTTAAGTTGTAAGGTGATACATATAACAGTAATAAATTGGATTAAATAAGTAATTTGAAGTTATATGGATAATTCCAGTAAATTGTATTTGCTGCAGTTCCATTATGAGCCAGAAAAGCAAAAACTCATGATATGAAACAAACAAACATTCTGGTTGGTTAGTAAGGATAGTAGGTTCGAAGATAAGACCCGCGGCTGCGCCTATGTTCCATCCACCCCCATTCCCTCAGATTAATGGAAATACTTTGAGGAATGGGTTTATGAAAACGCAACACGTACACTCTGAACTGGGAAAGTTTTGTTATCAAAATAATTAAGGAAAAAAAAAATCTAGTGTAAGAGAAAATCTGTATGTTTTTTTTTTGGTGCCAGCCTTTGTGCTTAAGTTTAATATTTAGGAAAAGGACGAAGATGAATTCGTTTTGAAATAGTTGAGTTTCAGAAGAAAACGTAGGTGTATTGTAAATATGAACTTATAGGCCAAGAAAAGTTTGACTAATTCTAATTTGTAAAACAAATAAAAGTTCACGACGATTTTAAACAATGTAATTGAAACGTAAATCCATAAGGTACCATCAATTTTTTTTCTGCTAATATTTTGTGTTTAACTGATCATTTGGAATCCCCCTAAACTCCATACACTTAATTATTTTGAGATTTGAAGCCGAAGGACGTCAGGAAGTTGAAAATTGAAGAATTCACCCTTAGCGCGATTTTATTTCAGGAACTATACGTCCAAATGAACTGAAATTTTCCAGGGATGTTAGTCCTCTACGAGGATAGGAATTGCTGAAAATTTCAGCTTTCTATCTACAATAGAAGAAAAATTATGAATTTTCAAAGTTTTCAAAAATCTAAATCATAATAACAATCAATAATCAGAAAGATAATTTTATCAGCATTTCATTCATTCAATGTGATAATGATAAGCTATGCATTTCTATTTGAAATAAGCAAGTTTTTCACCCTTTATAATATTTCTTGCAATTCTTCCAAGCGTCGTTTAGCTGTAACTCAAATATCAACTCAATATTATTTTATACAAGCAACTTATTCCATGTGATCTTGTGGCCAAAGCTGTTGTGTGTGTCTTCTTCTTCTTCGTCAGCCCGTGTCCATCCATTGTCGGATATAGGCCTCTTCTAAGTTTTTCCATGTCCCGCGATCTCTCGCTAATCTCATGCATTGTCTCCCTGCCACCGTTTTGACATCGTCTATCCATCTTTTTTTCGGTCGTCCCACAATTCTTATTGTTCCTCTTGGTCTCCAGAGTGTCGTTTTCTGGGTCCATTTATCTGGATCTTGTCTCGCCACATGTTCGATCCGTTGCCACTTCTGGCTTGCTATCCTTTTCACAACGTCCGTCACTTTGGTTCTGTCACGTACTTATTCATTTCGTACTCTATCCCTTAAGGTGATTCCCAGCATTATTCTTCATGGCTCTCTGTGCGATTCTCAGTTGCTCAGCCGGTCTTCGGGTTATTGCCATAGTTTCTAAGCTGTAGGTGAGAACCGGCAGAAGACAACTATCGTAGGCTTTCCTTTTTAGTTTTATGGGTATTTTTTTATCTTTAAAAATAACGTTCAGGTTACCAAATGCCACCCATGCCAAATGGATTCTGCGTTTGATTTCCGCCGTTTGGTTTTCTTTGCCCAGCTTGATTTTATGTCCTAAGTATATGTAATGTTCTACATTTTCTATGGTAACGTTTTCTATGGTGATGTTACATTTATTTTTGCTCATTATTTTGGTCTTGTTCAGGTTCATTTTTAGGCCTATTTTCTCGGATTGTTCGTTTAGCTCATTTAGCATGTTGTTCAGTTCTTGAATGTTGGTGCTCATCAAGACTATATCGTCTGCAAATCTGAGGTGATTGAGGTATGCTCCATCGATGTTTAAGCCCTTTTTTCCCATTCCAGCTTCTTAAAAACTTTCTCCAGTGCTAGGGTAAATAGCTTGGGAGAGATGGTATCCCCCTGTCGTACTCCTTTGCCAAGTGATATTTTGTCTGTTTTAAGATCGTCGTCTATTTTAACGTGAAAGGTTGCCTTATCATAGATATGCTTAATAAGGGTGGAGTATGTCGAATCGATTCTTGCGTCCTCCATTGCCGCTAGAAAAGACCAGGTTTCAACGGTGTCAAAGGCTTTCTGGTAGTCCACAAACGCCAGATGTAGGGGTATGTTATATTCTGTTGTTTCCTCGATGACTGCCCTAATTGTTTGCAGATGGTCTGTAGTGCTAAAGCCCCTTCGAAAGCCTGCTTGTTCTACCGGTTGGTAGGAGTCTAGCTTCACAGTCAGTCGATTGTTGATAATTCTAGTTAAAAGTTTATATAGGTGTGATAGTAGGCTTATTGGTCTATAGTTTTCTATATTTGAGCGATCCCCTTTCTTCACTACTTCGACATTTTTCCATGATTCCGGGATTTTTCCCTCTATCAGACATTTGTTTAACAGCGTTCCTATTGTCTCTGTTAGTGTTTTTCCACCCATCGTCAGCATTTCCGGTGTTATTCGATCTTTTCCCGGACTCTTGCCGTTTTTCATCTGTTGGAGTGCGTATTTAATTTCTGATGGTGATATTTCCGGCATGTCTTCTGAGCCTACGTTTGTAATGTGTTTAGGTGGTCCATTTGGGCTTGGAATAGTTGCTTGGTAGAGCTGTTGGTAGAATGTTTGTATTTCCGTTCTAATTTTTTGTTTGTCTGTGACAAGGTTTCCTTGATTGTTTCTTATTTTTACAATTTTCTGTTTTCCCCTCTCTTGGATCGATCTTAGAACTCTCATTCCTTTATTTTTCTCTATAGTTTCCAGGATTTTGCTTGTTTTGTTTTCTCTTAGGTCTTTTCTTGTTTCTCTTTTCGTTGTTTTATTTAGGGTATTAGATTCTGGGGATACTCTGTCAGTTTTTCTTCTTTTTCTTATTAGTTCTATCGTCTCTGGTTTTAATTTGGTATCTGATCTCTGCCTTATCCTACTCCATGTTTTCTTTGTGGCTGTAGTTATGGTGTGTAAGCACCTAGAAACGGCCTTGCTAGAATAGTTGAACAGTCCTTCACTAAAATAGGATTCTCTGAAAATTTCAGATTCATTATCCATCATACTTCTGTCTTCTGTCAGAAGATAGACCACAATTTCAAACTGATGAAATTGAAAACGACGAGATAAACGTCTAGAACCCAGAAATATCACCATGGGAAGTACAAAATGCATTAACTCATACGGAAAACGGAAAGGCTCGTGGCAACTTAATTATCGAACTGTTAAAAGCCGCCCCAGTAAAACTAAGATCTTCATCAAAGGTATTCGAGAAAAAGAAAGAAGAACTGCCACTATCCTCGAGGGAAGGGTTTTGATCTAATCTCATGGATTTTCAAAAAAAATGGAACAGATTGGACAATAAAAACTATAGGGGGATCACCTTCGCAAGCTAGGTGGCCCGATTATATGGATGTATTCTGAAAAACAGAATAGAAATCGAGTTCCAAGAATCAGAAAAACAAAATGGTTTCAGGGCAGGACGTTCTTGTATAGATGGAGTGCATAGTGCATAGAGAAATATAATAAACCAAGGTGAGAGTTACCGATTCTGTGGTGCGACACTGGCATCGCGATGACGTCATATCGATACTAGCGCCACTATCCACTACAAGACCAACTTAAATAATATTTGGCGGGCTTTTTGAACTTTCAGATTATAGTCTTGCTATTTTTGAAGGTAGAAATCTAACCCAGCGTTTTCCCGCAGTCGACAGAAAAAAAAATGCGGGAAAACGCTGGCCTGGAAACAAAAATAAATAATCAAAAAATTTCCATGAAGTAATCTATATTATTTTGATCATTGGCAAAAATTACAACAAAAAAAAAAAGCGAAAACATCTCACTTTTCACTAATAATAGGTTAGTATTTATTAATTATTATTATTTATGCATGAACTTAACGATTTTCTCATTGTAAATCTTACCAGAATCATGTATTTTTAATAAACTAATTAATTTTAGGTTCACTTATTTGGTTGTGTCAGTTTTGAAAAAAGAAAATGTCATTTTATTGGTTGAAAATCGCAATGTACAATAAATAAAACCCCATGCCCTCTCTTCCTTTATTATCACATCTGTTAAAAAGAGACAGATATAAGAACGGGAAGCGATGTCAGAATTGTCAGATAGTTCCAAGCTATACTAGCGCCACCATGTGCTACAAGAAATACGTTGCCACTTGGCGCATATGAATCGGTAACTCTTAAAGTCTGTTTTTTTTAAAGATAATTCCCCATGTCAAAAATTTAGTAACTATGTTGGCAACACAAGCCTTTTCTACATAAAAAATTTGAGAGCATTGACAATTTTACATTGTATTGCCAACATAATGTCACTTTGACTTTTATCTTTAAAAAAAAAAACACACTTTACCTTGGTTTATTATATTTCTCTATGATGGAGTGTTTACTCTTAAGAATCTTATTGGAAAAGAGAGTAGAAAGAGGTAGACAAGTTCACCTGACCTTGGTGGACACAGAAAGCATATGACACCGTGCCACTAAGTAATTTTTAGCCATCGAGCTTTAAACTGCTAGAGGGATCAACAAGCATATTTGTTTTGTTCCATAATGAGGTAGCGGGGTCAGAGGGGTGATTCATCCGATAAACAAA